TAATGTTCAGCCAAAAACTCATTTGATTTAATTTCAATTGTTGGTTCTGGTCCGAACTTCTGGGGTAACAGAAAAAAACACTACACCATCCGCTATATGACAGTCCTTCAAGAGCTTGAAGATGGTTATTATGTCATCTCCCCATCGTCTCCTCTCCAGGCTAAACATACCCAGCTCCTTCAACCTTTCCTCATAGGACTTGGTCTCCACACCCCTCGCCCTCTTTGTTGCCCTCTTCTGGACACGTTCCAGCTTGTCTATATCCTTCTTAAACTGTGATGCACAAAACTGAACACAATACTCTAGGTGAGGTCTAACCGGAGCAGAGTAAACACTGAACACTATAGTTCTGTTGATACAGCCTAAAATCGCATTTGCCTTTTTAGTTGCAGCATCACACGGCTAACTCATTTTCAGTGTGTGGTCTACTAAGACCCCTAGATCCATTTCCCACCTACTACTGCCAAGACAGGTCTCCCCCATCCTATAATCATGCATTTGATTTCTTCTACCTAAATGCAGAACTTTGTATTTATCTCCACTGAAATTCACCACAGGAAGTGGTGGCGACTACAAGCATGGACGGCTTCAAGAGGGAATTAGATAAGCATATGGAGCAGAGGTCCATCAGTGGCTCTTAGCCACAAGGTATAGATAGGGACTCTGGGGCAAGGGATGCTCTGTCGTTTTGGTGCCTGGGGGGGGGTCAACAGTGGGAGGGCTTCTAATGTCCTGGCCCCACTGGTGGACCTCCTGATGGCACTGGCATTTCTGGCCACTGTGTAATACAGAGCGTTGGACTGGATGGGCCTTTGGCCTGGTCCAACATTGGCGTCTCTTATGTTCTTATGTTCATTTTGTTTGTTTTAGCCCTTCTACAACTCCATTGCCCACAGCACTCTGAGTAACATCGGCAGCTTCAGGAAGCCATCTCCTCTGACTCTCCTCTTCTCCTTCGATGTAACCCCATTGTCCACAGTCGGTCCTTCCATCCTTTGGAAGCTCAGCATCCGAAGTGTGTGAGGGATGAGCGGGGGGGAGGGTGGCTTTGAGAGGGCAGAATGGGGGCGTCTCTCTGCCACCCGTGGAGAGGAATGCAGAACCCTCCAAGCGAGACTGGATTGGGTTCCCAGGCAAGAGACTGAGCCCCTTAACACATCGGACAAGTGCTTCTCCGTGAGTGTAAATTACTGTCAAGTGGCAGCCGACTCACCCATGAAGAGTCAGGGTCGCAACATTGATTGACCATCCCAGGCCCCAAGGAAGCCAGGCTTGCTGTCACCAGGGCCAGGGCCTTTTCAGTGGCGGCTCCATACTGGTGGAATGAGCTCCCGGAAGACATCAGGACCCTACGGGATCTTCTACAGTTCCACAGGGCCTGCAAGACGGAGCTCTTCCACCAGGCTTTCCATTAGGAGCCGCCCACCACTACCACCAACATCTTATGGTAGTGAGCTGGCCCTGGTTTGGAGATCAGTTACACCATCGTGCGTTGCCGGACGTTCACTGAGTTGGAAATCGTGTCTGTTGCATCATATAATACGCCATCTTATCAACGAAGAATGGTTACTGCTGTTAGCACTTTATTTGATTGTTTTTATTTGTTTTAATTGTTTTTATGTGGATTTATGGTACCCTGAGCCTGTCCGTGGGGAGGGCGGGATAAAAATGGAAATAAATAAATAAGAAGCCTTCTACTGAAATCAGACCCTGAGTCCATCACTGTCAACATGGCACCAGCTCTCCAGAGTCTCAGGCAGAGGTCTCTCCCATGACCTCCCAATGGACCCTTTAACTGGAGATGCCAAGGGGATTGAACATGGGACCTTCTGCACGCCAAGCAGAGGCTCTGCCTATGAGCCACGGCCCCTCTCCCACCCACCCTCCGTAGACTTATGGGGACCCCAAAGGGGTTTCAAGGCAAGAGATATTCAGAAGTGGTTTGAAAGTGCCTGCCTCTGGGGCAGGGACCCTGGACTTCCTTGGTGGTCTCCCATCCATGTGCTAAACGGTTGTCAGGGCCAGAGGCCCTCTTCCACCCCCACAACCCCGAGTGGGGATCCACCACAAGAATCACACGCTCGCACACACAATCTCTCTACCCAACCAAGGCTTTCCCTGCTTACTTACTCATGTAGATGACAACAGCCAGGATGACCGAGATGCCAATTGGCAAGACACCCCCAGAGATGCCCAGGACGAGCCCCCAGATGGGTACTGAAGATGAAAGGGAGGCATGAATGTCATTATTCAGCCGGGCCGCTGCCCTCCAACGCCACACACACACACACACACACACACACACACACACAATCTCTCTACCCAACCAAGGCTTTCCCTGTTTACTTACTCATGCAGATGACAATAACCAGGATGACCCGGATGACCAAGATGACAATTGCCAAGCCCCCAGGGATACCCAGGACGTGCCCCCAGTTGGATGCTGAAGACGAAAGGGAGGAAAGAATGTCATTATTCAGCCGGCCGCTGCCCTCCAACGTCTCGGGCAGGGATTCTCCAGCCGAAGGATCGCAGGTTGGTGGAGGCGTCAGGCGTTGCACAAAAGACTTCCTGGGCGCGACTACCCACTCCACACACAGTTCCTGCCCCCACTACTCTGCCAGAGACGGGTCCCCAGAGGCATCCTGGGAATTCTACCCCCAACCCCTTTAACACAGGCCTACAAGCAACTGGTCGGGACCCCCAAGTAAGCGCAGGGACTTACTGGGAGATGCTGCTCCAGACTGTGATCTTGCTGGGGGAGGGGGCTTTTCTTGGAGTCCCCCCCATGACAGGAAACCTAAACCTTACTAGGACTAAAGAAGAGTTACTGAGAGTACCTGGGTACTCTCCCGGAGGAGATCAGGGCCGCAGGGCCTGCAAGACGGAGCTCTTCCGGCAGGACACCTGGAAGCTACAGCTGGTGCAAAATGCTGCAGCCAGGCTGTTGATGGGCCTCCCAATATGGGAGCACATTCAGCCCGTGCTGAAGGCATTGCACTGGTGACCGATAGCATACCGAATTCGCTTTAAGGTGTTGGTTCTTACCTTTAAAGCCCTTTACCTTTAAAGCCTTTCATGGTCAGGGACCTACATACCCGAGAGACCACCTTTCCCCACATGTTCCCCAGAGAGCACTGCGATCAGGGTTTTAACCCCGACTCACCCTTCCCAGGCCCGAGGATGCTGGGCTAGCTACAACAAGGGCCAGGGCTTTCTCGGTGGCGGCTCTACTCTGGTGGAACGAGCTCCCGGAGGAGATCAGGGCCCTGTGGGACCTTATGCAGTTCTGCCCAGCGTTCAATTAGGAGCCGCCCCGGGGGGGGGTGAAATTCTTAAAGCAGCCTGAGCCACCCGTACAACATTAGATCGGGATCGACCACAAGGATGGCTCTCTCTATGAGTCTATGGCCATCTGACAGCAATGCCAATTCTGTGAACTTAGGCAGATTGTGAGAGGGAGGGCAGGAAGGGTTGCCTCAGTGCTTAGGTCTTGTGGCCCTTTCTGACATGCCCAGGGAAATGCCGATCGCTACTTCTTCACCTTCCCGTTACTGCAAGAAACTCTGCTACAGCCTAGGCAACATGAACTTAGCTGATCTTGTCCAGCTTTATTGCTTTTTATTTGAAAATCTCTGTGATGTGTGCTTTCTCAGGATTTTTGTTTTGCCCTGCTGATGACAATAGGGCAAAACACAACTTTTTTAAAAAATCCAACCACTCTTTTCCTTTTTACAAATATTTTATAAGAAGTCTATTATTATTATTATTGTTATTATTATGGTTTCTGGCTTCCCTTAGGTAAAGGTTCCCTTGCTCGAAAGCCAGTCGAATCCGACTCTAGTGTTGCAGTGCTCATCTCTGTTTCAAAGCCAAAGAGCCAGCCCTGTCTGAACACATTTCAGTGGTCATGTGGCCGGCATGACTAAACGCCAAGGCGCACAGAATGCTGTTACCTTCCCACCAAAGTGGTCCCTATTTATCTACTTGCAATTTCTTGCTTTCGAACTGCTAGGTTGGCAGGAGCTGGAACTAGAGACAGGAGCTCACCCCGTCATGCGGCACACTTGGGTCTCGAACTGCTGAACTACCAACCTTCCACAGCCTGCAGTTCAGCGTCTTAACCACTTGAACCACCACAGCTTCCCTTAGTTCAATCTATTTTTCTGAGATATTTCTCTGAATCTCTTCCCTATGCGCTAGACCACCTGGAAGCAACACAGTTTGCTATAAGGTGTTTTTTTTAAGGGCTTCTACCCTGACACTCCATTATTGCTGTAGTGCTGGGCTAGAGAGGTACCTTCTCGGCAGGTCAGTCTAGATGTTCTCGGGATGTCCCTAAGGGGCGGCAGCCGGTTACCAGACTGCTTTCTAGGGAACTCTTGGTCTAGGTGAGTTTCCCAGCAAGGAAAGGCACCACCCCCTTCCATCCATAACACCCCCCCACCCCCAAGGGGACAAGCCTCCCCCCTGCGGTCTCTCACCTGGCTCCTCCCACACCCGTTCCAGGGGTCCTGGGAGGCCATCATGCTCCACTCGGCACTGGTAGTAGCCTCTGTCCTTGGGGTCAACATCGATGCTAAGCCAGGTGTGGTAGGTCCCGTCTGAGTTGGGGACAACACCCCCCGTAAGGGTGTCCCGCTTCCTGACCTCCCCATCCTTCAACCAAGTGACATTGATCTCCTTGGGGTAGAAGCCGTAGAGCTGGCAGAAGAGGGTCTCCCGGCCATCGTAGCCCTTCTTGGGTGCCACCCTCACCATCGGGGGCTCTGCGGAAACAGCAACATTGGTCTGCGTTAACAGAGGACATCTTCCGAGGCTGGCGGGATAGAGACTGGCGGGACTGTCTGAGCTGAACGTACCAAGCCTGCAGTCCCTCCAAGAGACCACCTATTCCGCAGAAGAGGAGATTGGGTTTATACCCCGCCCTTCACTTGGAGTCTCAGAGCGGCTTACAGATTCCCTTCCCTTCCCCTCCCCACAACAGACACCCTGTGAGGAAGGTGGGGCTGAGAGAGCTCTTGACAGAAACTGCTGTTTTGAGAACAGCTCTGAGAGAACTACCCCCCTCAATGTATTTTTATTTCAGTTTTATAAGACAAACAAAAAAACAAACATGCATAGATACACATAAAAGGGCGATTCTAACAGTATAATTTTACCCACTGTCTTTGATATCATATTATAGTCTAAAATATTTATTAGTTTTTTTCCACCATACAGTTATATTTTATTAATAGTTACACGATCTATGGTTCTTAGTCCCTTAGTTCTTTTTATTTCGGCTAAAGGTTAGAGGTCCAGGAGTTTTAGTTATCATTTTCTTCTACCCAATCATAAAATCTTGACCATGTGTTTTCAAAACCTTCTTTGTCATTTCCTCTTAAGATCATAGTCAATTTGTCCCTCACAGCAGTTTCCAGTATTTTGGCTACAGCCTCTTCTTTTGTAGGTACTTCTGTTCTTCTCCAATATCTCGCATATAGGATCCTTGCTGCTGTTAGGATATGTATAGTGAGATAAAAATCTTGTCTCTTACAATTTTCTGGAATTATCTTCAACAAAAACAGTTCTGGTACTTGTGACTGACCCGAGGTCACACCAGCAGCTGCAAGTGGAGGCGTGGGGAATCGAACCTGATTCTCCCAGATTAGAGTCCGCGCACTTAATCACTACACCAAACTGGCTCGCAAAGAGGATTCCCCAGCCTCTACTTGGAAAGTAAAAGGTGGTTCTGAGTCTGGTCCAATGAGCTCCTTCTCGGGCCAGACCTGCCCACGCAGCAGAACGAAGTGGTAGGGTCCTAAAGCGGGTGTGGAACACTGTACCACATTTGCATGTGAGGGAGGGGAGGGTGGAAGGAATCACACATTGAAGTGCTCAGCCCACCCCCTGAAAACATCCGGGAGATTGGAGCGGGGGGGGGGGAGCCTGAGACCAGGAGACGGGTCTTTTGACGTGTGGGGGAGCACACCGACCGGAGCCCCTACCCCCTTACCTGTCCTCAGCAGGGTCTCGTTCCCGTACTCCAGGTACATCCGCAGCCACTCCACACACGTCTCCTCCAGGTAGTCCTTCTCGCTCTGGGGATGGCCCAGGGCCAGGAAGGAGCCCAGCTCCTGCTTTAAGATCTCGGCCTGTGGCACGCAGGGGCGTACTTCCAGGACCCCCCTCTGGGCCGCCCGTCTGGCCCCACTTTGCAGCTGATCTTGAGCTGCAAGGTGTGGAGACCTGGAAAAGACACAAGGGGGGGGGGTATGTTGGGGGGGTTGGGGTGTGTGTCTCAAAGGAATGTGACAGAGAAAGGGGGAGCTTAGAGAACGGGGAGGCTGCAGCCTGGCCTCCCCCCACAGGTGAGCTCCAGCCCCACAGAGATAAACCCCAGGCAAGGTCTCTCCTCCACCCCACCCCACTTCCAAAAGGGCTGCCTGGAAGGAGCTTCATATTCCTTTCCTACCTCTTTTGATCCAGAGGGGCAGAAAACAGCCATGTGTGTGTGCATATGGGGAGGGGGGGATACTGCTAGGTTGAGAAAGATGAAGAAGAAGAAGAGGAGGAGGAGGAGGAGGAGAAGGAGGAGAAGGAGAAGAAGGGATTAGATTTATACCCCGCCCTTCACTACCCAAAGGAGTCTCAGAGCGGCTTACAATCTCCTTTCCCTTCCCCTCCCCACAACAGACACCCTGTGAGATAGGTGGGGCTGAGAGAGCTCTGACAGAAACGGCTCTTTTTCAAGAACAGCTCTTATCAGAACTATGGCTTGCCCAAGGTCATCCAGCAGGTGCAAGTGGAGGAGTGGGGAATCAAACCTGGTTCTCCCAGATTAGAGTCCGTGCACAGGGCTATTTTTGGGCAGGAACACACAGGAACGGAGTTCCGGCTGGCTCCCAAGTTGACCACGCCCAGTAGGAACTCATTAGCATAATAGGCCACACCCAACAGCAGAAACTCATTCGGATTGGCTACAATTAGGGGTGTGTGGCCTAACATGCAAAAAGCCCTGGGTTTTGACAACAAGGTAAAAAGAATAAGAAGCAAAAGGTGGGTGTGGCTGGATGACCGCACTTCTGGTAACATGGGGGTGTGGCCTAATATGCGAATGAGCTTTGCTGTCAGGGGTGTGACCTAATATGCTAATGAGTTCCTGCTGTTGGGTATGGCCTATTATGCTAATGAGTTCCTTCTGGGCTTTTTCTACAAAAAGAGCCCTGCGCGCACTTAACCATTACACCAAACATAGAATCACATAGAATCCAAGAGTTGGAAGGGGCCACACAGGCCATCTAGTCCAACCCCCTGCTCAATGCAGGATCAGCCTAGAGCATCCCTGACAAGTGTTTGTCCAGCCACTGCTTGAAGAAAGCCAGGGAGGGGGAGCTCACCACCTCCCTACGCAGCTGATTCCACCGTTGACAACGTGATATTATTATTTATTTATTTAATTCAATTTATATACCGCTCACCCCCTGCGGGCTCTGAGCGGTTTACATATTTCATTAATGCCAATCCTAACCTAGGGCCACATACATACATACAAGGTGAGAGTGACTAGCCTACCCAGCCACCCTGTAGCACGTTGTTTGTTGTCTGCGGGAGCTCGTTCAATGACGTCCTCCTGGCGCTGGTCTTTCATTTTTGCGACTTCCTGGCTGTTGCGACTATTGATATCATCACAGTGGAGAAAACATCCAGGTGAACTCTGGTATCTGGGCAAAAACTCTATGGTAAAAATGACTTCTGCCACAGAGCTCTTGCCCCAAAACCAGAACATCGTCGGGACATCACTGATGTGATGACATCACTTCCTGTGTGACGCCGGCAATGTGGCCTGACCTTTCATCTGTCTCCTGATCAGCTGCTTGAGGCAGGGCTTGGTGGCGAGGGACCCCGCCTTCCTTGGTGGTAAGCCAATTGATCCCCATGGCTTCCTGCCACCCATGTTATATGCATTTATATATGTTTATGCAGAAGACCAGGGGTGGGGTCAGCCAGCCCTACAACTGACCCCCATGGCTTCCTGCCACCCATGTTATATGCATTTACTCCTGTCTTTTAATTTAAATCCCAGAACAAAAGCCACATAATGTCTTTTATTAAGGCTAGACAAGGCTTTTTTTCCGGGGGAACACACCAGAACAGAGTTCCGGAACCTCTTAAAAGAAAATTCTTTTAAAAATGTATAAAAGTACATGAGTTTTCAGTATACAGATTGAAAACGTCATTTCCCTCTTGAGAGTTCCGGCACCTCTTTTTCCACCCCCCCAAAAAAGCCCTGAGGCCAGATAAATGCCAGTAAGCATAATCTTCAACAGAAAAGATGTAACACATGGTTTTGTTAGTGTTTGGTGTGAGAGCCAGTTTGGGGTAGT